AAAAAAAAAAAAAAAAGACATTTTAAGTTTTCAAGTAATTTTTAGACTCCAAATTCAACTTTCCTCTTTTTTCTTTTGGTGCTGAAGATTAAACCCAGGACCTCAAGCATACTAAGCATGGGTTCTTTCATTGAACTACACTCCCAGCCCTTAGGTTTATTTTTAAGTTTACAAACCTGCTATTTGAATATAAGAGAAGTAAGTAATGTCCCACTTTTTAAAATTATTTTTTATTTTTTTATTTTTATTTTTTTTTTAGTTATAGGTGAACATAATGTCTTTATTTTACTTTATGGGATGCTGAGGATTGAACCCAGTGCCTCATGCATGTCAGGAGAGCACTCTACCTCTGAGCTACAACCCAGCCCCCCCACTTTTATACTTTATACAAATTCTTAAAAAAACAGCAAAATCTTCAATTCAACTTTTTCCTAAATGCTTTCCAAATCTAATTGCCTGAGTGACTTCTGAGGTATCACCAGACACTTTTCCTACTTCTAGGTTAAGTGGTCTTGTTTGATTCCTGTGGTTCCTAAACACTGACCACTGTATCTCAACTTCTATTTTGTGGTGCTAGAGATCAAACTCTCAAGGCCTCACAGATTGTAGGCTAGGGCTCTAGCATTAAGCCACGCCTCTAACCCTCAACTTCTTATATCAGATGACACTGCACGCACACTTCAATTCTCTTATAGTAAAACTAGAAAATCATTTCAGTGAAAGTAGATCTGAGTATTACTGGTTTATCTGGTAAGGCTCCTGGCTGACTTGTCAAATACTGCTGATTACTTTATTACAGGCCAGATTTGATGACTGTTCTCAGTTGTTCCCAATGTGAAGTGGATGCTAAGTAATTATTTATCAAAGGTTTCACTGCCATAGTAACTTAGAAACACTTAGGGAGTTCTGTTTAAACCATAGTTATCCGAAAACAAGTGTCTTTCTGACTGTAGAGCTCAGAAAATGCACACAAATCCATGAGGAACACTGCAGACATTTAAACAGTACCTTTCCCAACACAACTCACTCAAGAAGTATTTGTGCTTACTTTCAAAGCAGATTTCAATTCCACTTAAGGCAACTGCTCCCTTCCATCTTACCTTGACTTTGGCCTCTTGTCTGACTTCTACCTGGGTCAATACTAAAGCAAGGGGGTTTCTAATACAGAATATAATGATTTTCATGAAGACTTCCTGACAAAATTTGGTTAACAGTTCTGATTTCCCCCATATACACACTTAATGCCATTGTCTCTTGAGATATATAAAATAACATCCACAGATCCAAGAGAAGTCAAATAAAATTCAGAGCCACTATGTCCAGTTATAGCCTGGAATTCATTTATGAACCTAAAACAAAGCTTTCTTTCTTTCTTAAATTATTATTTTTTAGTTTTAGGTGGACACAATATCTTTATTTTATATTTATGTGGTGCTGAGGACTGAACCCAGTGCCCTGCACATGCTAGGTGAGCACTCTACCACTGAGCCACAACCCCAGCCCCATAAAGCTTTCTTTCTTAAACTGACTTGACCTATTAATATATATATTTTTTATTGTTGTAGCTGTACATAGAGCTGCCTTTATTTTATTTATTTTTATGTGGTGCTAAGGATAGAACCCACTGCCTCACACATCAGGCAAGTGCTCCACCACTGAGCTATAGCCCTAGCTCTAATATTCCATTAAAAAAAATATTTATTTTTTAGTTGTAGTTGGACACAATACCTTTATTTTATTTATTTATTTTTATGTGGTGCTGAGGATCGAACCCAGGGCCTCGCAAGTGCTAGGCGAGTACTCTCCCGCTGAGCCACAACTCCAGCCCTAATATTCCATTTTTAATGTATCTTCATATCACTGGTGTGTGTTGGGGGGGCATTTCTAGAAACTCAACATATATTGAAAATTAATATTAACAAAGTAGCAACAAATTGACTTTAATGACTAGAACTAGGGACCACCTTTTAAAAATCACACATTCCTTGTGCAGGCCTGTAATTCCAGCAACTTGATACAGGCTAAGAAAGGAGGATCATGAGTTTGAGGCCAGCATGGACGACTTAGCAAGGCCTTATCTCAAAATAAAAAGCACTGGAGATATAGTTCAGTGGTAACTCTGAATTCAATCCCCAGTACCACCAAATAAATAAATAAGCAAATAAATAAATAAATAAAAATAAAAAAATCAAATACTTCTTTCCTCCATATTGCAAATTTTTAAGTGTTTTGTTGGGGAGGGGGTGTGCTCTTTTTTCATTACTGTCCTACTATTGAGTTCCAAAATTACTAAAATTACCATAGAAATCATATATCTGAATTTTCCCTTCAAATAAAAAGAACAGATTAGACCCAGACCAATAACCGAATAGAAAAAGTGGGACAACCAGATGGTAAGAGAACTCTCCTTAAAATCTTCATCTATAAAATGCCAGACAGATTGAGTGTTGCACACCTATAATCCCAAGAACTGAGGAGGCTGAGGCAGGAGGATCGCAAATTCAATACCAGCCTCAGCAATTTAGCAAGATGCTATTTCAAAATAAAAAATAAAAAGGGCTGGGTATACAGCTCAGCAGTAAAACAGCTAGGGTTCAATCCTCAGAACTAACAACAATGGAAAAAAAATTTTTTTTTCTTTCTATGAAATGGGGATTCTACAAAAATAATTGCCTGCTAAAAATTTCACCTCTTCGTACATGCAGATTACCTAAATTCCCAGCCCAAAAGCAGTTTTATATATATATATATATATATTTTAATTTCTGTAAAATGGATGATCTAAAAACTCTTTTGTTCTCTGTTGTGGCTTTTGAGAAGGAAATGAGTTTCCTTATCAAGAATGAATCTAGGGGGCTGGGGTTGTGGCTCAGCTGTAGAGAGGCCGCCCAGCACTTGTGGGACCCTGGGTTCGATCCTCAGCACCACATATAAATAGATAAAATAAAAGTATTGTGACTACAATTAAAATATATAAACAAATATTTTTTTTAAAAAAAGAGAGAGAGAATCTAGGGCTGGGGATATAGCTCAGTTGGGTGCTTACCTTACATGCACCAGGCCCTTGCCTTGCATTCCCCAGAACCACACACACACACACACACAGAATCTAGTTTCTTCAATTGAAAGACAACCATCTTCTCCATAATGCTCCGTATCACATTTTAAGTGAAACACGGTTCCCTTCAACTCCCCTCAATTGAAGGACCATAAATAAAGGGTCTTCCTTCCTTTGTGTCCCATAGATTACTAGGGTAGTGCCTGACCTTTGTTCTGGTTTCTTTCTGTTTCTTGCCTTTAGCATGACATCGTGGGAACAATGAATATAAACAGAATAGTTCATAAACTTTCTTGGTGTCTATCCAATGCAGTTTTTAAACTTCTCCATTCCTGTTCTGTACTTCATATACTGCTGCAGTCTGGAAGGTAAACTCTTCACACTCCCATTTACAAACCCTTATCTCCCGGCCTCTTCTTCTTCCCTCACTATTCAAGTTTGATAAGGCCTCGATAGGAAAGCCTTACCTCACCTTTTGTCTTCCCCAAGTCCATCTGCTTTCTTCCTGAGCTTTAAAGGTAGGCCAGGGCCATCGAGACACAGCCAGACAGCAGAGCCAACTTGATCTTCTGGGTTGTCCTTCTTTCACCCTAACACCGGTTTCTTAAATAAATATTTCCCCCCAGAAGTTCCATCTCATTCTGAAAAAGGACGGACCAGACATCCCAAGAACCCTTTGTCTGAGGCTTCCACAACTTACACATCCTCATCCACAAAGCGTCCGTCCTCCTACAGGTAGGGCGTCGGTCCGCACTAGGCGAGGGAGCCTAGGTTTCCGAATCTGTAAAGCGACGGGTTATGTTCGAGGTCCTCGAGGATTCAAAATTCTCCCATTCTAAAACCAAGCGCGCAGGTCCTATTTCTGAGGTGGGATGAGGGAACCACCCGCCGACCCTCATACTTGGCGCGCATCATGGCAATTAGCACAGGCCCTATGCAAAGCCTAGCTCCGCAGACCCACGCCTCGGACCTCCGGCGCCGGACAGCTGAGGAGGCCCGGCCGGCGCCGGCTCGCAGCCGCGCCATGCCCTCTTTCACCCTCACCCGCCGCCGCGGGCCGGCTCTTACCTGGCAGCACGCTGGCATCGCCCGCCCGGCACCTCAGGTATACTGTAGGTCTGGACGGGTCTCGAAAACCACTTGTCCGCCTTGAGGGAGGATGTCTAGGATGCTCCGGCTCCAGAATCCACCGAGGTACCGGGAACACGCCGCCTGGTTTCTAAGAAACAGGGGGTTCTGGAAGGGAGGGGCTGGACGACGGGAGGACAACGCATGCTCTATGACGGGGGTGGAACCGGGCGGGGAGGGGCCGAGACTGAGAGCGGCGCATGCTCATCCGTTGAGGGGCGGAGCCTAAGTAGTTCGGCTCGAAGCCCGGAGTGGTTCATTTCCGGCCGGAGAGACCCCAATTAGAGTGCTCTTCCAGCCTCAACCTCCCTCTGGTTAATTGACCAGCGTCAAGAACTAGGAGGTCCTGGGAATTGTGATTGACCTTGGCTTTCCTGGAATGAAAGAAGGTCTTATGTTGGACAACGACCTATCTTTACAAAAGGCCAGATCTCCCGTTGGACTTCCTGTTTTCTCAGGTGTATTTTCTGGGCCCCTCTTCCTTTGGATGTTCTTTGGTTCTTTAAATGTCAGTACTCTCTAGACTGTGGTCTCAGTCCCCTTGACTTCTTTACTTTAGCTTCTGTTCCCCCAACAAATACCTTTTGAAACATGGCTACACTTTGGTATAAGCCGGTTAGGCCTCAGTGTGAAATCTAGGAGGCTATTTCTGCTTGGGAAACCTCCACCCGCTTGTCTCTCTTGTTGACGCTTGGACTTCCATTCTGCTGTTTCAGGAGAGCCTCCCAGCCATGATTCCAGAGCAGCCTTTGATGGCAGAACATGCCAGCTGACCTGAGCTGTTTCCTTCTGTGACCTAACCAGCTGCAGGGCTCTCTGTACTTTGGGCTCAGGAGTCAGGACTAACTACCACTGCCTCCACTTGCATGAGCACAGGAAACTCCCTGCCTTTTCCACTGCATCTGCACAGCCAGACAGAAAGAAGGCAGAATCAAAGCGTGTCTGCATTTGATCTGTTTCTGTCTAGTCATTCAGAATTCCACTTTTCTAGAGTAGGATTTATCAACAGCTGTCCTATTGACATTTTGGGCCTGATGATTCTTTGTTGGGCAGCGGTGGGGAGACCTACTTGTACTGTAGGATGTTTAGCAGCATCCCTTGCCTCTTCCACTAGATGCCAGTAGCACCCCCAACCCCAGTGTGACTATCAAAAATATCTTCAGGGCTGATGTTATAGCTCAGTGGTACAGCACTTGCCTAGCCTACGTGAGGCACTAGGTTTGATCCTCAGCTCCACATAAAAATAAGTAAAATAAAGATATTGTGTCCATCTGCAAAAAAAAATTTAAATGTCTTCAGACATTGCCAAATGTTTCCTGAAAGAGAGGTGTAAAATCATTCCCTGTTGAGAACCATTAGTCTAGAGGAAAATGAGCCTACTCCAGCTCTACTTAAGAACCAGAACTTTCACCCTTAATCTGATAGCCCATTCCTCTCTCTGCATTAATTCTTCCTTAAGAGAGTTCTGTAGGGGTTGGGGTAGATTAGGGGTAGAGCACATACCTAGTGTGCATGAGGCCCTGGAGAAAATCCCTAGCACCATCAAGTTTTTTTAAAAAATGTTCTATAGAGTAATAGTCCTGTGAGGTGCAATGAGTGAAGCATTCTGTGATGATGCAGAATGGAAAATGCAAAGTTAAGCAACATATCTTAACAAAGGACTTTTTAAAGCTTTCACTATCAACATTAAGGAGACAGTTTTTCTAATTAACTGGACTACTGAAGAACCCTTTTCTAGGAACCATGTTTCCCTGAGATAGTTTTCTGCATGTTCTCCCTCAGCAAATCTCCCTGCTCCAGTGACTTTTTAGTTACCAGTTGCTCCCTTTTGATCTGTGTATTATTTTAAGCCATCATTATTTATCCTGTGACTTACTCTAACCAAAACCTTGTCTCTTCTACCATCTCCCTCACCAGTTACTTATCTTGTGCCTGCATTTGTCTCCTATATATTGGATCACTGGAGATTGAACCCAGGCCTAGCACACGTTAGGCAGGTATTCCCCATTGACCTACATCCCCAGCCATTTTCTGAGAGTCTCCCTCAGTTGCTCAGGCCAACCTTGTACTTGAAATCCTCCTGATTCAGCCTCCTGAATAGGTGAGATTACAGGCATGTGCAACCCTGCCCTCTTATTTGTGGCCTACTACAGTGGCCTCCTAGATGAATCTTTTACCTTCAATCTGTTTCCAATCCCACCTCCAGGTGGGCAACAGCATGTTCTGCTGCATCCCTCCTCTGCATAAAAAATGGGTTTATGGGGTCATGGGAGGCAGAATCAGGAGTGGACCAATCACACCAAGGACATCTTCACAGAGGAAGGGGAGAAGGGTCCCTGCATGTACTTAGTCCCTATGTGCTAAATAACTGCTGTATGAAGGCTATCATCACCTACTTCCACAGGATAGGTGGATTAACCACATCTTAAAGCTGGGAAACTCAAGCTTGAGGTCACTCAGTTAGTAAACAGACCTGACTGTACTGGGAATTTAAGAACAGGCTATTTCTCCTCAGACTGACAGGAAGCTCTGACTGCAGTATTGGGGATTAGGGTCCTTGATGCATAACTGCCTGTGTCCACAAGTTCTGTACATATGGATTCAACCAACAGAAAATACTGAAAAAAAAATCGTGTCCATACTGAACATATAAGACTCTGTTTTTTGTTATTTTTCCCTAAACAATATAGAACACTACTTACATAGTGCTTACATTAGTAATGCAAACATTATAGAAGTAATGTAGAAGGCCTAGGGATGTAGCTCAATGATAGAGTGCTTGCCTAGCATGCATGAGATCCTGGATTCAATCTCCAACACTATATACACTCTACAGTATATAAAAAATAGTATTTAAGATGGAGAGGACTGGGGATATAGCTCAGTTGCTTCCCTCACATGCAAGGCCCTGGGTTCAATCCCTAGAACCACCACCACCAAAAAAAAAAAAAAAATGGAGATATTAAAATATAAAAGGATGTGTATAGATTATATGCAAATACTACACCATTTCATATAAGGGACTTGAATATGAGGAATTTGGTATTCTTGGGTATAGGGATGGGGGCTCTGGAACCAATCTCCATGGATACTGAGGACTATATTTTAAATCATGTTTGTGGGAAGAAATCCTGTGGCCCACTTTCCTGAAGCTGAATTTTTTTCACTGTCTAAGATGCGGGCTATTTCAGGAAAAGAATTGAAGCTTGAGTACTTGTGCTCCTTGAGATCCTGCAAACACCACAGTTTTGAGGGTCCTTGAGGAGGCAAGAGGGGCCTGAGTCTTCAAGAGGTGGGCCAAAGAAGGCCCAATTCCTCCAGGACAGGAGTGTCACACTAGAAGTACCCACCCTAGTAAAACTCAAAACAGAGACCAGACACTCATCATTGCTCATGGATGTGTATTTTAATAAAAATAATTCTGTCAAAATACAACAAGAGTTTTTTTCATCTCTCAAGTACAATTTTAATAGGATGTTTTGTGTTAGAATTCTCCCAACCCTCCCATGCCCACAAGTTTCATGCTAATGCCAAATATCAACTTGCGAGGACAAAGGCAGAACCAGTGTGCACAATGTGGAGTATGTCTGTTTCAGCTGTAGTTACTAATGTAGGAAAACCCTATGCGAAGAGGTGGGCACTTGGGCAGCCAGAAGCCACCATCTGGCCGCAGGTCCAGGTGCCCAGGACTGGCGGTCAAGTAGGGCTCTGCTTTCCAGCTGCCACATGGCATGCATACCTGAGTTGTGAGCAACCAATGGAACTTTTAGCTCCGACAGTCCTCTGCCTCATCTTCTTTGTGCTTGCTTAAGGGCTGGGAAGGCGCTGAGTGGCCAGGTAGTCCCCACTTCTTTGTTTTGTGGTGTCCCTGTTCTGATGGCCTGCACCCAGCCACAGATCCACATGGATGGGAATAGGGGGTTCTGGCTTTGAGTGGCCTGCCAGTTTTCTGCTCTAAAAGGAGCAATTATCTGGTGCCACGAGGGGAAGGTGACTGGGGAAGGCTGCTCCCCCAGGGCTGGACAACCCAACAGAGCCAGGTCTTCTGTCTGCCCCATAAGTTAGTCCCAGACCTTTACCAGGACTGTTCCCAGGTATCTTCCCCACTTGAGGCTCCTGGAAGCAGGCTGGCAGGGCTGAATTCGCATAAGGGGCTCCTCCAGCTGCAGGTGAGCTTGGACTATCAGCAAGACAGCCTATTTAAGCAGCTTGGTTTTGGCCCTCTCCACAGCTTATGGGGCAAAGGCTTGTCCCAAAGGTGAGCTGTCCAACTGGGACAGAGAGCCCCTCTGGAGAGAAACAGTAAACAACTTGGACTCAGCTGAAACAGTGAGATAAGGCACAGAAAATGGGGAGGTGGCCATAGGTACTGAGCGGGAGCCCGGCAGACACCCATCCCCATATGTAGCGCACAGGTATCCTGAGCCCTCCTGGGCCCTCTCTCAGCCGCTCCACAACCGAAGTCCAGGCACTCATCCCCATCCCTGACACACCCCTGAAGGTACCTTCTGCTCAGCCACTGCTGGAAGCCATGCCACCCTGACCCTTCATGGGGCTCATCCACCATTCAGCTTCAGGACTAAATGGTACTGTCCAACCCATAGGAATAAGGTTAGTCCTGGCTCTGCCACTAATTTGCTGTGTGACTTTGGCCAAGTCAATCTCCTTGGCCTGTTTTCTTATCTGAAATAGAAAAGGACTGGTAGAGATGATCTCTGAACTCCACTGCAGCTGCAAAAGCCTCTGGTTTTAATTCCCAATCCAGCTAGGTTGATCACTTTAACAGTCTGATGTTTCCAATCTCTGACATTGGAGCTTAGTATCCCTAGCCTTGCACAGAATTAATTTCCTTTACAAACAGGACAATACCTCATGATGGGTCTTGTTTGTGGACTGGCAGATGGAGCCATGGCAGGGACCAAGAAAAAGAAGTAGCCTACAGAATTATCCCTTAAGGTAAAACTCCTAAAGATATCAGGGCCAGAGCCCTGGCCCCTCACCAGTACCTGGTCCAATGCAATTTCTTGTCCATTGTGGGCCTGATGAGGCCTAATGGGCATGGAAAATCTCTGGCCATTCCAACCATTCCCATGTCCAATAACATGAAGCAGGAGTTCACCAGCCCAAACCCAGACAGGTACTGGAAGTTTCAACTCTAGCTTTGCAATGGCTTACCCTAATCTTTGCAGAGGTTGCTTGGGCTCTCCCTCACACTGAAGCAGGTATAGAACTCCTAGCCCTCCAGTACTCCTCTTGTATAGGCCTCTTCCCTTTCCTACTGGGCAGCCAGTCCTCTCCTCAGATGCTCCACCCAAGTCCTGGCAGCTATCTCAGCCCTTCCTGTGACAGTGAGACTTTTTTTGTTCCACTAGCTATGAGAATTCATCTGAAAACAGCTGGTGGGACATTTGTAAAGCCCATGGGGTCCCATTCTCTTCCTAAGAATGGCTGGGGCCAAGCTACAGGAAGCGGCCTGGCACAGCTGCAGTGAAGCCTGGTCCAGGGGGTGAAAGGTTCCATCTACTCCAGGGACCAGCAGCCAAAGAATCTGCCTCCGTGAGGCACTGGCTTCTCCACAGAAAACATCAATCCCATCAGAGCTGTGCAGTAATGGTGAAGACCCAGGCAGGAAGAAAGCAGCCCCTGTCCTCAGGGGCCTCTGTCCTGGGAATGGAGTCTTCCTCCTGGCAG